CTGTGCTGTATTGGGAATGCTGCAGCATGCAATACGGCGGCCAGAACAATACGGTAGACCGCAGTGGCCCTTGTACTGTAGCCGGCGGTCCTGTGGCTATTCTGCCACTTTACCGGACCCGACTCCGTCTTTGCCACGCCCTTACCTTTAGACTTACGACCTTCGCCCGTTCACCTGACGAGTATTCAGTCTGACCATTCGCCTCCGTTTTTGCTTCGGCAACTTATAAGCCCGTCCTGTCTGCCACTCCTGCCATGTTCGCCTCGTCTCCTCGTTCAGATGCTCGAATATGGCCTTAGCGGTGCGCGCTCACTGCCAAGAGGCTGAACACGACGCCGACAGTAGGTATGGTCAGAAGGGCTACATGTACAGCGCCCACCAGGGCGCAGTAAGAAGCACGAAGTCAAAGCAACTTCACAGGGTAGGTGCGGTGAGCAAATGTCAAGACGGTGAGTCGTCTCTTTGTACATTTTCTCGATCCCCAGATGCACCTAGCCAGCGGACAGGCCCAGACAGGCCCAGCTGGAATAGCGACGTCATCGATCGAGATCTCTACCTACGCCTTTTGCAACTCCTTCTCTTTATTGCTTTCCTTATATCTTGATAAGAAGCTCTTGATGGGTATTGAGAGTGTATGGAACTGGCGTCGTACAAGCAATCGGAGTAGCTTGAAGGGGCAACCTCTGCCACATGCACTGAATGCTGCGGAAGCCTCGGCTAAAAGGCAACGCGCTAAACTACGCTGGCGGGTCAACCGGGGCACAGATCGGTCTCACCAAGATCGCGATGAGAGCGGACGACGGACACGGACTCGAGGCCGGCGGGCGCAGTTCCAGACTCATGAGGAGCTGCCACAATCGTTGTCTCCATGCCGCCATCTCCCTCAGGGCGAGGCACCGACCGCAACGACCATGAGCGTCAGCGCGGAGACGGCCAAGAGGAAGCGCATCCAGGTTTCTGCTGCTTGTAATGTTACTCCTGTCGGCCCATTGCGGCTCCCATGCGCTCTCTAACAGTGGAACCACAGGCGAACTGTGTCGACTGAGAAAGAGCAAATGCTCGGGAGAGCGACCTTCCTGCACCGTGTGTCGGAGGAAAGGGCTCGGTTGCGTCTACAAGACGTTGCAAGATGAGACACGGACCGAAGCGCTTAAACGGCAGAACGAGGCGCTTGCGGACGAGGTGGACGAACTAAGGACAGCTGCTGAATTTCTGAGGACTGGTACGGAACAAGAGACTGCTGAAGTCGTGCGACGCTTGAAAGAAGGTCAGGGGCTGAGTGATGCGATCCGTGAAATCTCCGAAGGTGCTTTGCTGCTGGCACCGACAAGGCCACGCAGCAGTCGACCATCTTCGTCCTCAAAAGCCGGCCCTATTTTACCGTGGAGCCCTAGAACGGAACAGAGTGAGGAGGGTTCAGAAGAGCATGGAATGGATGGAATAGATGGCGTGGATGGGATGGATGAGACAACGTCTGAGGCCATCATCTCCTCCCAGCAGAGGCTGCGGTCACCATCTGGAAGGATCCTACCACCCCTTTTGCCAGCTACGGCGCGCTCATTGCCAGGGAGGCATGCCCCTGATGTGACAACCTTAGCGCCGACACCCTTAGCATCTTCGTCCTCTTCCTCCCTAAGCAAAAGACGCCAGAGCAGTCCTGGACCTGCAGGCGACAACCTAGATGCACAGTTTGACCGCAAACTCATCTCGGGCCTGCTGGAGACTTTACGCTTCGGCAATACCACACAGATCGAACAAGTGATCAGTGTCATCAAGAGTGATATGAACTTTGATGAGATATCCACGCACATCTTCGAAATTCACGCCAGTATTAGAGCGACGTTTTAACAAGGCTGATTCCTGCTATTCGGCAGGCCGCCGGAAACGCACCAGCTCACTCGCGACCACTGACATGTATTACAAGTGACTTGTTTTACCACCGCAGCATTACGTCTACCGGCTACTAGGTCTGGAGACAGCCTCAGAGAGGCATGACCGCGGTCGAACGCCTCAAAACACAACCTCCCCTAATATACCTCCACACAGCAGAAAGAGCTGGGATCATGCCCAGCGTCTGGGGCATCTGGCCGAAAAGCAGGGATTTGCATTGAAATTGCTGGGAAAGGGGGCGGGTAAGCAAGAGGTTATTTGCTCGAACTGCTATTAGGCAGTTCTACAAAGCTCTCAGAGCACATGATTATGAGATCATGAATTCTTGCATACGTCGCACTCATAAAGCAGCTCAGCGCTCGCATGACATGGACAGCAATGCAACATGCGCGGACTTGCTTGGCCCTCAACATACACAGAGACGAGACGGGTGATTGCTCATTCGCAGCATGTTTTGCTGCGGCAAGAGCATGGCTCTTTTACATGCAGCAGTTTTTACATGCAGCAGTCCTTCCTTTCGTTCAGAGATACCACATTTGTATTAGCTCATTCTGTATCCTCAAAGCCTGATGAGGCCTATCTCGGCTCCTCAGCACTGTCGTCCACACGCGGTATCGACACTGCCAACCAAGTGCATCTACAACATGTCACAGGGGCGCAAAGGCAGCCGTTGGTCCGCTCATTAATCATTGCCAACAATTTTGATTCTGTCGTAAGCCGCGTCAAGCTCATCATATCCTCGCACGAGCAGGACTAAGGCCGAAAGTCTGCCAGAAGTCCCTACTGTCATAGGCCCTGCCAAGTTGCTCCATACTCCGTGGCAGTGCCCTCACACCCCTCTCCTCCATGAGTTCATACACCCACACACTTTGCCGACTAGGCTCATCCTCCTTCCCACTATCCTCACCTTTGCTCTCAGAAGACGCCCATCCGGCAAACAGCGCCCACCAATCGTACACAAACCCATCCGTAAGCATCCATCTCTCACCCGCGGCGCCGGCGGCGTCCCACCGCTGAAAGACCTTGACGATCGCTCTGGCCACATCCTCTCCGTGCACCATATGCAAACTCGCCTTCTCAGCCAGCTTCTCCTTCGTCGAAGCAACCCGCTCAACCCAATGCCGCGGCTGCCGTTCGCCACCCCAAAGCCCAGCAAGATTCAGCACGCAGCCACCCAAGCCGAGAAGCTCGTCCTCCGCAACCGCGCGCGGCTTGGACCCGTCATATTTCGAATGCCGCGTCACCCACAGCGATTGGTCCTCAATCTGCCATATCCCCGTCGAGCCCAGCTGCAGAAAATGCAAGCTTGGCGACGCACGCGGATGCTTCTTCTTGTACGACTCTACGAGGAGCTTGCTCTGGCCGGCACCGGTGAGGGGGAAGGTGATCAGGACGTTGCGGGCGGTGGGCAGGATGGAGAAATATGATTGATCGGAGGCCGAGGGATCGAACTTGAAGCGGATGGTCGAGTCCCGCCCCGTCGTGGATGTGGCGGCGTAGGTTATGTTTTGGTGGCGTAGGAGCGGGATTAGGAAGGTCGAGGTCCAGCCGGCTCCGAGGATGAGGATGTCTACTTCTTGCATCTTGTGTATTTTGGGCTCAGGGAAGGATATAGGTGGTAGATGAATTTATTGATGTCAGGTGATGGCGCGTCTGGTTCATGCACTCCAGGCGTTTGCTCCGCGTTTCAGGCTGCAGCTACGTCATGGACTTTTCATATGTATCAGGCAGTCATGGATCTCACCTTCACTTGAAGTGAGTCGTTTTCTTCTGACTTGAAGTTATAAATTAATCTTGCGTCGCGCGAATTGATCTTCAGGCGACTCTCTTCTTGCTCAGTCTCAAACTTCAAGTAACACGAAATACCAACTTCCTAAGAAGCAATCATCTACCCGTCACCATGTCAAACAACTCATCATACGTCTACGCGATCATGCGTACAGATTACGAAGATGCTTCCGATCACGAGGGACGCGTAATGTTCATCTCCGTCCACGGTTCTCATGAGGCTGCAAAGAAAGCTGCACAGCAGCACCTGGAGCGCTACGCTAAAAGCCTCGACCTCAACGACCCGAACACCAAGAACCTGACCAAAAGTGCTAACGACTTTCACAAGCTGGTCATGGTCAAGCAAGATGACTACCACTCATTTGCTGTAGAGGTCACGAAGGAAGAACTTTTGGATGGCACGGTCATTCCAGCTGAGACGAAGGCGAACGGCGCCAAGGCAGGCGACAAGCGCAAGGCTGCGCAGGCCGCCGACGAGGACGATGAGGATGACTTCCAAGCCGCTAAGGACGGTGACGACGAAGAAGAAGAAGAGGACGAGGATGAGGACGAAGACGCCGACGGCGGCGCACCAAACGGCGAGCCCAACTGCCTCTCCGGTCTCAGATTCCTCATTACCGGCACACTGGAAGGCTTCAACCGTAGGGAAGCCACAGACCTGATCGAAGAGTACGGCGGCACGATGGAGAAGACACTGAAACAGGACCTCGACTATGTGGTCCTGGGCGTCAAGGCTGGACCCAAGAAGCTCGAGCAGATCGAGCAGTGGGGGCTAGAGACGCTCGACCAGAAGGGATTGTACGCCTTGATAGCGTCAAGGCCGGCAGGTCCTAAGGCTGAGCCAGTATCGGAGAAGAGGGCGAGTAAGAGGGGAAAGAAGGCATGAGCGTGTAAGCCTGTGTCAGGAGAAGCTGGGACGGGAATGGCTGATGGCGTGTAATCAACAAAATGCGGTACTTGCTGTTTCTCAAAAGCGTGCGGGAACTTTCTGCGTTACTGGAGTCAATCAACTATATGGGTTCCAGGGAGTTAAGCGATGGAGTCGTGGTTGCCCAATGGCTACTGTACAGCGGTGTTTGCAGGCCATCGGAAGTCTTCGCTATACAGTTCATATCGAAATATACGCACGGAGCAGTTTCCCTCGGAAGTTGCCCATGCATTGACCATGACGAGTTTCGTTTCCGCTGAGGTGCGATGCGTCGAGGTTGCGCCTGCGATGGGTTGCTCCTTTCAACTTGGCGTTATATACAATTTAGCCCTTCGTTTGTCCCATCAAGATAACCGAGTTGCAACCAGCTTCTCGGGTCATCGATCATTACCCTGTTCGGTTAGCTCAGTTGGTTAGAGCGTGGTGCTAATACCGATTCGGTGGTCTAACGTACCGATGAAGTCGTGTAACGCCAAGGTCGCGAGTTCGACCCTCGTACTGAACATGATTCTTCTTCTTTTTGCTCTTCTTTTGCTCGAGACGACGAACACTCTGCGAACGTACATGTACCGTATGTGGAAGGCAGAGACCGTGGAATTCGCGTTTTGTGCTTCACATGCGACACGTCTGTCCACGTTGTGTAAGGTAGCTGTCATTGGGACTGGGGTCACCAGCAACCATCCATACTCATGTGCATATTCTATTGCGCTGTACAGTGCAGTGAGTGCCGTACCGCTTGAAATTTACAACACCGTAGACGGACAATGATCCTTCATCCTAGGCTCAAACCTCCATGCTGCCCTTCTCCTCTCCCGCCCCAGCTGCAGCACCTCCCCCAACATGTCCCCAATGCTCCATCTTCGCCAGCTTCTGCAACTCCCTCGCCTTCTGCACACCAAATCCATGCTCAAAGATCTCTCTAATATCCTCCAACGTCATGCCCTTAACCTCCGGGTAGCAGAAATACACGCACACCCAGCCTAAGATGCAGATGGCGGCGTAGAAGCCAAACGCGCCGCTCGGAGTCGTGTTCTCCATCTGGGTGAGAAAGGTACTGGCGACGATGACGTTGGAGCCCCAGCACGTCATCGTCAGCATCATCGTGCCCATCGCCCTGACCTCGAGCGGGAAGAACTCGGACGACAGCCAGGCCGTGTTGCCCATTCCGCTGGAGTAGAAGCCCACGTAGCAGATCATCGATACCAGCACCACGATCGCTGGCGCGCCGACTTTCGCACCCGCGATGAGCGTCAGGTTGTGGTTGATCGGGATCCAGTGGAACGCGACGGCGGCCACGACTAGGAAGAGTCCCATGAATTGCATCGTGCAGAGTAAGATCCGCCGGCGCCCGATGCGGTCGACGAGCATGAGGTTGACCCAGGTGAAGAAGAAGTTCGTGCCTGCAATGACGGTGCCGACGGCGACGGGGTTGGAGAAGCCGACGAGGGCGAATAGCGTGCTGCTGTAGTACATGAGGGAGTTGAAGCCGCCGAGTTGAGAGATGGCCATTAGACCGCACGCAGCGACCAGGGCGCGGAAGTTGGCTGGGATTACGTAGAGTTGCTTTAGAATCCACCATTGTGATTTGCCGGCTGTTAGGTCTTTGCTGTACTGAACGTGGATGGAGATGTGTTGGACCTTCTGTTCGACTTGGAGGGCTGTGCCGTTGGGGAAGATACGGCGGATCACTTGGGCCGCTTCCTCTGGTTTGTTGTGATAGATCAGTTGGCGAGGGGACCTGTGCAACTAGTCAGTACTTCTTCCTGAGGAGGTCGGAAGAGGAGGAGGACGTACTCAGGGCAGAAGGGTAGTAGACAGCAGAGGACAATCGCCGGAATAGCACCTCCTCCAACCATGTACCTCCAACCACCGTCGACATGAGCAAAGGCTGCTCCAATACCATAGGACACGAGTTGACCACCAGTGATACTCATGTTGTCCAGCCCAATCATACGTCCCCGGTAGCGGGCAGGCGAGACCTCAGCGATGTACATCGGGACGATCATAGCGGCAGACCCAACACCAAAGCCAACAACAAGGCGGCCCACTGTCATCTGGGCAAGGCTGAAGGCGGCTGCTTGGAGAATGGCGCCAATGATGAACAGAACGCAACCGACGTAGATAGCGACTTTGCGACCATAGCGGTCGGCGGTGGTGCCAGCGAAGATGGCACCGAAAAAGGCGGCACCGGAAGTGATGGATGTGATAAGTTCTTTCTCGTTGGAGCTGAGATCGTGACCGAGCGAGCCCCCAATGTAGACGAGTACGGCACTGATGATGCCGGTGTCATATCTGTTCAGTTTTAGCGAGGCTGTAAATTATGGTCAAATCCGATTCGGGAGCTTGCATACCCAAATAGCATACCGCCAATGGCAGCGGTGGTGGAGACGAGCCAGGCGTACTTGCCGGTCTGCGTGTCTTCAATGCTGTCAAGCTCATCCACGCTGTGGCCGTCCACCAGGGTCTGGTGATTGACATGCTCTACATGGTCTGTCCCAGTCTTCTCGTCGAGGAACCCAGCGGCGCCCATTCTGGCAAATAGACTAATGTTTGAAGTATGACCCAGGAAGGAACAAGAAGTTCGGTGCAAATACAGCTGATGCTGTGGATGGAGAAGCTTGTAGAGGAAAGTAATAGAGGTTATCGAAAGCCGTTGGAGAGTAAAGACAGATAGTAAGGAAAGATGGTATACTTATAGACGTTTGGCACACCTAAAGTTACAACTATGCCTCGGAACCACGGTATATGACGGTCGGCGGTGACGATAGGCGCGAAACGCTCGTAACTGGTCCTCGATTTCCGCACAAGCTACACCGGGCAATAGTGAAGAGCGGGCGGCTGCAACGAAGGCGGATGTGGCGCTGACCACACTGGCCCACCTCTACTCCCCTCCCCATGGGGAGTTTCTCCGCGTGGAGAAGAAGGGGATCCACCGGGCGACCGATGTGCTTAGCTTGTACCGCACGAATCGGATGCCGGATGGTGGGAATCGGGCATCTGGAGTTGCCCTATGGGTCTGGCTGGACGTCTGCATGATACACTGCATACAAGGGTCTGTCTAGTTTGCAAGCCCAAACCGGTAATTTCGGGAGTGCCAAGGCTCGCTTCAGTTCCGCTTCCTTTCTTGCCGCAATTGACAAACTTGGTAATTTTGGGAGCGCAACGCTTCCGAAAGATACCTTACAAGTTATTGCACAGCACAATGCATGCGGCGCAGGAGAACGTGTAGAGACTCGGGAAGCTGATCAAAGACGTTGTCGGCAAACTGGTGTATAACTTACATGTATATGCCCGGCTTATGAAGTCGGACAGAACGGAACCCCAAAGACGGACATTGGCAAGTACCTGGCATGAACCACGTATTATGTAGATGGCACAGTAGTACACCTCAAGCACGCTCTTATGCTCTCATGGCGACAGTTGTCCCTATCCCATCTCAGATCCAACCCCAAGCCTCCTTCAAGCCCTCCTGTGCTGCGCCCGTGGGCCAAGCATGCACCCTCTCCGTGTACACCAAAACCTGCATCAATGCCTCCTGCTCTCTGCGGTCCTCGAACCGATCACCAGCCATGGCAATCGCCATACTTGCCGTGACATAGTTCGGCGGGGTCCGACTATTGCCCGTGGCCATACCACACAACGCAATCACGTCGTTTCTGATCTCCTTATCTATTTCTTTGAGGGCTTTGCGCAAGCCAGGTCCCAAGCGAGGCAGCCGCGGGCTGTGTGCTAGCAAGAGGATGTGCGCGAGGTGGTAGTGTTGGCATCCGGTGGTGACGGCATCGGAAACATACCATATCTGAGGAAAGACGGTGTTGACATCGTCGTCCAAGACACTGGGAGTCCCAACAAACATCGGGGTGAAGGACGTCGGTTTCATATGTACCCAGTTCTCGGCGTATGAAGTGAGCTCAGTATACCGGCTGGGTGTCATGGAATTCAGGTCTTCCCCAAAACAATAGCGCAAGACCTCGGCGCAATGCGCAATGATACGATTGGCCCAGACGTGGTCCTCGGCGGGCTCGAACGTTTGATCAAATTGCAGGTGTTCCAGAGTGGGGATCACGGAGCGCTGGTTGACAAACGCAACGTAGATTTCTTGACGCAATCCAATCCAGAACGCAGCTTCACGGAGCCCGCCGTTGAGAAGTGTCGCATCCTGAGCACTGAGGAAGACGCGCGTGCCAAGGAGGTGGTTCTGCTCTGTTGTACCAGATACGGGTACTCCGACCTCCTCCAGGTAGCGCAGAATTACGGTTGCGGCCATGAGATCTTCATCGAAGACGGCCTGTTCGTCGTTCAGCATAGGTATAAGGTGTTTGATGCATTCTCCGTGGTAGCGATCAGAGATCAACGGATCGTAGTTCGGGTGTAAACTGCTCAGATGTTTTGCCGAGACTGCAAAAATGGCATTGAGAAGGATGGGGCAATGTGCGGCTCGCTGCGGAACTATGAGCTGAAAGTGCCGTCGCGGGTCGCAGATGTCGAAGTTCAAGGCTAGAGTGTCGATAAAGTACCGGAGGAGATGAGCTTCTTCTGGTCCTTGTAGAGGCCAGCTCTGAGTGCCAGCCCGTTGCAGAGAAGGGGACAGCAGATCAAGTTCAGATGCCGTCTCTTGGTTCGCTACTCCGCTCCCGGACGGTATGCTATAAGGAATGCTTGAATCAAAAGTCGGAGAGAAGAAGTTCGAGGTAGGGTCACTCCGAAACGTCAAATGCTCATGTTGAACATTGGCGTCACCGGCCACTGATTGCACCACTGCATCAGCAGTCAGCTGCTCCGCATATGTTCCATCCGAGGGAGAGTGGAACAAGGCTGCGTTTTGGGGTGCTGAGCTTCCTTGGGCCAGGTCTGGAAATGATGATGTACGCAAGCCTGAGCTCTGCTGCACAGGCGACTCTAGTGAGATACTTTCATGGGTGCCGGATGAGTCTAGCCGTCTTCTTTTGAAAGCCCGCACTAAGCCAGCCTGATCGTCATAGTCTTCAAGGTCCAAAGCTGTCGCATCTCGCTGCGCAACGGTTGCCGGAGGACTCCTAGGGCTTCGTACATGTTCGCTTCGGACTGGTGCATTACAGTCCGATTCGTCTGCCTGGTCTTCGTTACGTGTAGCAGACTCCGAACTCGACTCATCATATATACCAATTAACTCCTCAGTCTCGTCAATGAACCTCAGTCTGCTTGACGTCTTGCACCACGTCTGATCATCTCGCCATCTGAGTTTGTCCTTGGTGGACGTCAAGACTCTGCCTTTAGTAATGCTACTCGAAGGGTTAGCCAAATGCCTTCTTGTATTACAAAGAGTCTGCTTGGGTGATTTTCTCGGGCGGTGCTTTGCATGAGGTGAGCATCAGCACGACCTTACTTCTCATAGGCGATAGAGCAGCACATGGGCCGTCCTAATGCCGGCCTGCATGGCTGCCCACATGCGTGAACCAGATGGCGACAGGAAGAAGTAGGTAAGCAGACAGATTTGTAGCGACTTACCTCGGATTTGACTTATGG